TTAGGGTGAGGGGATTTCTCCAAAAAATGATGGGATTTTTTTTTTTTTTTTTTTTTTTTTTTTTTTTTTTTTTTGGTTCTTGGGTTGATTTAAAGGTTCTTGCTAATTGATGTAAGGTTACGTTCAGTGATTCTAAAAATAGAAATTCCAATCATCGATGTTGCAAAGAATATATGTTATAATACGAGGCTTTTCCATCAAAAAGCCTCAAAAAGAAGAAAGAGAACACCATTTTGAGTCTGCTATTTCAAAGTATTTCACGGGGATTGTTTCGTCCCAGGTAGACGAAGCAGTGATGATTTAGAAGTTGTGTTTGAAGAAGCAGAAAGCAAAACGACCGATGCCATGAATAGTTTTCTTCTTAGAGATTATTCTGGACAAGAAATTGAGGTTTACTACAAATGAATCCTACTATAGATGTAGAAACTCATGGAATGCCGTCTATTTGTTTTTTCTAACTTTTGGAATGTGTTTAGTTCAGTTACATATGTAAGCGTGTTTCGATATTCTTAGTATGGATGACTCGTACGTATGTCACTCTAGTTCTGAAGGTTAAAGAACTAGTAAACATAATATCCTTTACCTATGATAGAATTGAGTATGCATTTTTACTGGAGAAGTTGTGGTTTCATTGCTCTTTGATAAGGAAGATAAGAAACTGTATTTCACCCAGCTTGTCCTCCTTTACGGTGAATGTGCAAGCCAAGGATGTTCTGTGGTTCCTCAATGGCGTAATCAACCGGGCTCTTTGTTATATCCTCTAATTTGTTTGTGTTGTGAGGTTTTGTCTATGATGCTTAATAGGGATGTAAAGAATAATTGGGAGATGGTAGCTAGGAGAGCTCCTTTTGATTACTCCTTTATTTTTTTTTTCCTTCTAGACGACAGTCTTATTTATTTATTTATTTTTCTAAGGCTTCTAAACAAGAGTGCAGGTTGTTGATGAGGAGGTTATTTACCGACAAATAATCAAGTACTTTTGAGTTCAAATATTTGTGAGTTTTCAAACATTTTTGTTAGTTTGATGTGTTTTTTGTGTTTTTGTAGCAACCATTAAAAAATGGGAAATTAGGTGAAAAAAGGGTAAAAATTGAAGTTTTGGAAGCTATTGGGACGAGACACGAACGAGGGCAAGGACCTGCATAAACCGCCGCGCAAAACGGGACAAAAAACGCTCAAGAGCAGCCGTGGGCAGGGGCTGGTGCACGACTGTTGTAGTGCGCGGCACGCCCCTCCCTGCGCTGAACATGCATTTGGCCATTTTTTTGGCCCTTGATCATTTTGGATGGCCATTTTTGACCCTTGGATGAGTTTATATGAAGTGATTCTCCAATTTTTGGCATACTTAAGCAAGAGAACTAGTTCCTAACTTGAAGAGGATGAGAGGCACACAAATTCCTAGAGAAAGAAGCATGGACTTGGAGATTCTTAAAGATTTGAAGACTTGAAGCTCATCTCCACAAGAGTTTTCTCTTCCTTCTCCCTTTTTATTGTAGTTTTGTAGTTTTTGTTCTTAAATTTGTGATTTTGGTTATGGATTCCTCTATGTTGAGATAGATTTGATATTGTAGAGCTTGATGTAGCTTTATTTGAACCATGTTCTTATTATCTTGTCAATTGTTAGTTAAATTCCATTTTAATTTATTTATGTTTCTCTCTGCTTAATGTTTCTAATTTATGTGGCCAATGAGTTAGATAATTTTAGATTGTAATTAGATAAATCAATTAGAGAGAGTGATTTCATAATTTGAAATTGGAAAATATTGTATAGGTTGTTGTGAGTTCGGTAGGAGATCGATACTTACATAATCTCGTTGAGAGTTTAGGATATTGTGAGATTGGGAGGTGATAATTTCTTAGATTATCAACTAGGATTGTGATTGTTGTGAGGCCTTGAGGCGATCGATATTTGAGTTCTAATTTAAGGGCTAAACTTAATAATTGTGTATGAGCAAACGTGTTAGATAGGAATATGATTTCGTTTGACGCTCGGGAGACATAACGAGGTTAGATTAGGTCCCTATTAATTAATTGAGTAGAATTGGCTAGCAATGGTTTGATAGGATAACATAGGACTGATAAGGTGAAGTCAAGTCCCTAGTACATTTGTGCATAGAAGTTTCCATATTTTATTTTGTTTTGGTATTTATATTTGTTATAATTCTATTTTTATTTCATTGACCTCGGTTGCCTAGATCAAGTTGAGTTACAATAATCATGGTACTTCGTGGCAATTTAATACCCAATCCCTATGGAGATGATACTCACTCACCCTAAACTATCAAAACATGACACCGTACGCTTGCGGGCGAACAAGTTTTTGGTGCCGTTGCCGGGGATTGACATTTTAGTTTATTGCTAATATTGTGAGTAAGTAGCTTGATTCTAATTTAGGTGTGTCTTTACATTTTATTGAGTTTTATTTTTCTTTTTTACTTTCTTTGGTTTTAATTAGATTGTTTCTATAGTTTTTATTTTGTTTTCTTGGTTTTAATTTTTCCTCTTGAGTGTTTTGTTTTGTGAGGTAGTTGGAGATGTCACATCGACTACTCCCTTAAGAATTGCTTAGTGAGACTCGGAGCAGTTTTATTGTGCTGTGAGGAGATACAAGGAATTGCTCATTAGGCTCTCCGATCATGATCTCTGAAAAGAGTTTCAACTACAAAACTTCCTTGATGGGTTAAGCGTCGCAACACAAACTTGGGTCGAAAGAGGAAATGGTACCACCTCTCTTTACCAATATCAGCGGATGAAGACTATCATTTTTCGGAAGACATGGCTGACTATGACAATTGGTGTTGGAATTATTCTTCGAACAACCAAGGTTGGGAGGAGAGTTCTAAATTTTTGGAGCCATAGTATGACACTCAACCTCAACATGCAGAGTCTTCTCTAAACCTTCAAAAGATTCTTGCCAATTTTGTGTAGGAAACGAGGCTTAGTAAAGAGAAGTTGGAGAGGATAGAGACCTCTCGTAACCTACAAGTCGAGCTTGGCCGACATCTACATGCAGAGTCATAATGAGGGACACACAATGAGCTTGCCCGACCTCAACATGCAGAGTCTTCCCCAGATGACTCAATTGAAGCCATGACCAGGACGGTCACAATGAGGGACACACAAATCACATACATGTATGAAAGCCACCGTAAGGAGCTGGGTACAAGTAGGAGGAACTTGGGTTTGTTCGATGATGACAATTCAACAGAGGAAGACATTCAAGACATGTTCATCGATGAAGAAGAATCACAAGACGACGTTCATGAGTCTCCACCTTTTGAGATCCAAATTGTTATGCCCACCGATCAAAGAAGAGAACATCTATGAAGATCCAATGTGGCTGTCACCTCCTCCATCATGTCTAGCATCGTTCATTCAAGTCCGCCAAGCTCATGAGCCGGAGCCGAGTCAAGTTGAGCGGACAAGCCAATTAATTCCATATCTCGCCAAGCTTGAGGGTATCAAGAATCAAGACCCATATGTCGTGTTGTACGACCCGTACTATGGGCAGAAGCCACTCTTTGATGAGCTTCCAAGGCATTGGAATAAATGGGCCTATGGTGGTTCTTAATTGCATTATCTAGAGATCCTTCATCACCCGTCAAATTATTTAGGTCTATCCGGGTTAAATTGACTGAGTGAGATGGGTTCGGCACACACTAATTACACTTAGAGAGTCTTGAATGGGGTGAAATTGGTGCTTGATGTTGAAATTTTAGAAAATCTCAGTGTTTGCATTTCTTTTGAACTTTGATGCATTGCGTGGCCTTTGAGATTTATCTCCTAACTATCGAATATATACAAAACTCACACTATTTTTTAAGTTATTGTTGGTTTACATTGTGTTCTTCTTCATTTCGATTTTGCTTTCTTTTGTTTTGCTTGAGGACATGTAAAGGTTTGAGTTTGGGGGTATTTGATGAGGAGGTTAGTTACCGGCAAATCAAGTACCTTTGAGTTCAAATGTTTGTGAGTTTTCAAGCATTTTTATTAATTTGATGTGTTTTTGTGTGTTTTCGTATGAATCAATAATAAATGGGAAATTAGGTGAAAACAAGAATAAAAATTTGAGTTTTGGAAGCTATTGAGACGAGACACGGATGAAAGGAAGGACCTATACAAACCGCCACGTGAAACGGGGTGAAAATGCCCAAGAGCAGTCGTGGACAGGGGCTGGTCTGTGCCTGTGTACGCCCCCTGCTACGCAGCCGCGCCCCTCCCCACGTTGAACGTCCCTTTGGCCATTTCTTTGGCCCTTGATCATTTTAGAGGGCCATTTCTGACCCTTGGATGAGTTTAGATGAAGTGATTCTCCAATTTTAGGCAAACTTAAGCAAGAAAGATTCTAATTCCCAGCTTGGAGAGGATGAGAGGCACAAAAATTTGTGGAGAAAGAAACTTGGAGTTGGATATTCTTCAAGAATGCTTAGTAGAGATTCTTGAAGATTTGAAGATATGAAGCTCATCTCCACAAGAATGTAGTTTTTTAGTTTTTGTTCTTAAATTTGTGATTTTTGTTATAAATTTCTCTATGTTGAGCTAGTTTCATATTGTGGGGCCTGATGTTGCTTTATTTGAGCCATATTTTTATTATCTTGTCTATTGTTAGTTAAATTCCATTTTAATTTATTTATGTTTTGTTTCTAATTTATGTGGCTAATGAATTAGATAATTTTAGATTGTGATTTTGATGCTCGAAAAAGATTGATTTCAAAATTTGGAATTGGGAAACATAGTCT